TCGTCTCGTTTCTAAAATGTTTTCTTTCACATATTTTGCAAGTTGTCGTGACTATTTGGTTGACATCTCTGTCCCGAGCAGTTTACATTTTGACCCATGGAGACATGCGTGTCTGACTAGAGTGGTCTGAGAAAAGTACCTGACTGGTGTGGGCTGTGCTGGTCTGGGGAGTACACCGTGCAGGAAGACTCTCTCTGCACTCCGCTTGCCAACGCGTATGACGCCGCACTCAGGATGTGAGGATCCACAGTTGGGGAGTGTTTGAAGGCCACGGTACCCTTACGAAGGTGTACTGTACTTGGCTGAATGAGTTAGCGGATTTTTATACCTTTCCTGCCGCCCTGTGCTCTCCTGCACCGGGACCACCAGCAGGAGGGGCATGCTCTAACATGACAAGAGTTCCCGAGACCGGCCAAGCTCACTGAAGGCGCGTTGAATCAGTGGTTGGAAGTGTCACAGGGGCGCGTGCGTCGCTGCTCTGCAGCTGCCTGTCCTCCTGTGCCGTCCGGAAGTACTGTATAACCCTCCCCCCATCCTGATAAAGCACGGAGCCCCCCTGACCGAGGGTCCTGCAGCTCTTCTGTGGGGAACACCTGCTCACCTGGCTGCACGATCAATGATTGATGACTCCATGCGCCGATCTATGAATTATTGAGAGGGAGAGAAAAAACACAAGCGTTTTAATTAGTATTTCCTGTTTCTCTTAATGCTGGCGATTTGCATTTTGGCTGGAAGGTGTTTGATTTACTAATGCTCCCCTCCTTTTGATGTTGAATACATGCTGTGGCAAAGGGGATCGGAGGCTCAGAAAGGCGTCTAAGCTGGAATGTATCCCCGTCGTGGCGCGGGATGCACACAGGACGTGGGCGTGTGTGGAAGAGCACGTGGGACCCCCGGACCTCGGCAGGCATGGCAACTCCCCTGTGTGTCCCCTGGTTTCTCTCCACCGGGCTTCTGAGGTGCCATGCGCCGCTCTCTATTCAATTACAGCCAAGCCTTGAAGACGGCCGGCCTTCAGATCACTCGCCTGGCTCTTAAAAGGCTGCTGTGAGCAATGAGCGCAGCGCAGATCTCTTTCATGGAATAAAAAAACAACGCATCACTAATTAGATCGGCGACGGCCAGGGGTTTTGGTGCAGATAGTAACTTAATGGTGTTTTCTTAACCTGCGTTGATCCGGATAATCATCTCTCCTGGTGCTCAGAGCACTCGCTATCTGTGCACGGTGTACACTTTCACTGACAACCGCCCTGTGGAAATCATTTGCCTTTGTTCTTTTTTTAACTACAGGACAGTTTTGCATTGAGTGCTGTGCAGTTTTCTATTCTAATTAGCTGGGAACTTCTGGACCAGAGGGAAGAGCGCCACTTACTGGTCCTCAACCTGTACACCCTTGAGGCCTCCCAGTACAGCCCAGGTCCCGCCTTGCTTCTAGGATCTGAGGAGATCTAACTCTGCTGTCAAATCACACATTTAGGAAAAAGCAAAGCTTAATTCCAGGCTGAAACAATTGGAAAAGTTTAAATACATTTAGTAACACGATGAAGACTGTAACTAAGTAATAAAGTACACTTTAATTATTGAAGCCCCAAATAATATTTTATATTTAATTTCAGATGGAATAATCGGTAGTGATCAAAGATTTCACGTGAATTTCACCCAATTTTTTGCTTAGTCTTTTGCCTCATTAAGCTGCTCTTTGGTTCCTTTCCTTTCTAATGTTTTTAAAGGAGATTGCGGCACATTTGCAGTCAGTTTGTAAGTATAAACCCACTGGGTTATGAAACCCTATATTTATTACCATACATGAGGTGAACCTGAAAACAC